AAATTTGAACCTCAATTTGAACTTGAGTTCACATTCAACAGGGGTGGGGAAACTGTGGCCTTTAATTAAGGAGATCTGTGCTGTGAAGTTTGGATTCAGTCAGAGGAACCCACTTAAGGACCTAAAGGGTGCCACTTCTAGCCTCAAGGCCAAAAGTTCCCCATCCCTGCTATATCAACTAAACTATGTTACATCTACATTTCAAAACTACATAAGAAGACTGCCAGGAACTTTCTTGGCCAATATTTTTAGTAAATCTGGAAGAGATAGCAGTCACTTCACATCACCAACCACTCTACTTCATCCTCCACACAGCTGTCAAAGTGATCTTCCTAAAGCACACATCTTACCATGTTCCTCTCCATTCAATAAACTCTAACAGTTTTCTATTGCCAACTTTTAAAAATCTTCATAGCTTGGCTCATTATTACATTTCCAATCTTCTTTCGTCTTATTCCCCTCCACATAATTCAATGACACTAGCCTCTGCTGTTTCTCATACAAGGATACTCTATCTCCAGACTCAAGGTATTTCATTCGCTGTCTCCCCATGCCTGAAATTGTCCTCCTCATTTCAGTCTCCCTGACTTCCTTAACTAACTCCAGGTCTCAATTAAAATCTTACTTTCTACAAGAAGCTTTTCCCAATCCACCTTAATGCTAGTGCCTTCTCTCTGAAATTAACTTCAATGTATCATGTTCATATCTTGTTTGTAAATAGTTCTTTGCATGTTCTCTTCCCCATTTAACTGTGAGCTCTTTAAGATCAGGAATTGTTTTTCGCCTTTCTTTGCATTCTTAGCTGAGTGCCTGTACATAGTAGGTACTTAACAAAGGTTTATTAAGTCAAGTTCGATTTGACTGACTTGGCCAAGAAGCAAAAACACAAGGTTGGTTTATAATAGCAAGGTTCTAAGGAGATGTGTCTCATTTGGAAAAAGAAAAACAAAGTTCTGGATATGAGATGGAGTGTGAAGTCCTTGGGTTTTTTTTTTCCTGGTATTGCCCTTCTCTTTATCATTAAAGCTCCTCTTTTCCCCACTCCCATCTCCTTCTTCCATTCTACTTTCCCTAATGACCTTTATTTGCTTAGAAAATTGGGCCCAGTAGTTTTTTGTAATAGGGAAGGAATCCTAGAACAGACATAAAATTAAATTTTCTATTTCCAGTGGCAACTAATGGGTATTAGGAGGTGAAAATGATAATGGTATTGTTTCTAACATTGGTGAGATGAAAGTTGTAAAACTGAGAAAATGGAAATTATATCGTAAGAATTCAGATAAAGATATTTTTGCTCATTTGACCCTGCTGGGGTCTATCACTGTTATAAATTAGATAGAAACTGATTATTCCTTGGTATTCACAACCAGTTTTTTTTCCCCCATATGTGAATACATGAATGCATGTAAGGAATGTGCATAATAGAGAAGAGGATAAAAAAATAATGAATCAACTCTTCTAGGACTGCCTCCTAAATTGTAGGTTGGTTTACCTAAGAGATGTCTGCCAGGATTAAGGTACACTGCAGATATGTATTTCTAAAACTAAAATTTGTAATGCCCCACAATTGGTTTGCCTCCAATCATCATCAAGTTAACACAACTAAATTAAAGCAAAGGTATTTCCTGAAATAGCATAACATGAACCATAGTAAAAAAGCAATCTATGCATAAACCTGCAGCATACTCTCCCAAAAATACAGTGCCAATGGGAATTACAGGTATATACTCACTGAGAGGCACACTCTTAGGGAACACCTGTGGCCAAGTCAACTCACAACCCTGGTGTTGCAGGAACCTGAGGTACTTTCTCTTCTCCTTACATGTACACACTACTGCTCAGAATCTCTGCTTACCTCTCTAGACCTCTCCCAAAGTCACCTCCTGTCTGCCAGGGCTAATTCCCTCTCTTTCAACTCCTCTTGATAACTTTTTCCAGTGACAACTAGACCCTGATCCACTGGATGCTGCCATGGGGATTGGAAGATAAGAAGCCCTTCCCCCAATGTGATACATTCTGCTAGAATCACTCCTAAGGGCTAGCTATCTTAACTGACTCCCTAGAAAGTGTTTTACTTTTTAAAGGTCACTAGGAATGTAGATTATCTTTAAGCAAGTAGTGGCCATTAAGTCTGATTGAAGAATTTCTTCATATCTTTTAAAAGAGTTGTTTAGTGGGAAACTTCTTTAAACTAAATAGGTGGTGATACAGAACAATCTCAGTACTGATCTGGGCACTAAGACAGGCTACATTCAAAAGGGTAATTCACCCTTTGACTATCTTAATGAAGATGACTCAGCTTCATGATGCAGACTGGAGGCTATGCATGAAGTATCATTTGTACTGTGATCCCAATGCTCATAGTGCTATTTCCATTCATTACCACTTTGCATCAGGACAATCATTGGAAACTGAAAAGGTATGGCATCACTAGATCATGAAGATCTGAGACTCAGTCCTGAAGAGAAGAGACAAAGCCTGGGATTTCAGGTGTTTGGTCTCTTCCTACATTATGTCACTTCTTCAGAAGGCTGTTACGTTACTTGTTTTGTTTTGTAAAGGGGGGAGGGATGCTAGGTATGATCTTTCTGTTTTAGTCTTTCTTTTCCTTCTCCAGTGCTGCCTATGCCAGGGATATCACAACCCCAACGTCAGAGTTATGTAATAACAGTACTGAAGCCTTTTAAGTAGTAGGAAGCTATCTAGAAGAAATCTGACCATCATGGGATAGGTTTAGCAAGAGCACAATCAAAGGCCCTACAGACACCGTGAAAGCTAGGCTGATTTTTCTTTAAATGAACATGAAACTAACCTCATGACTTAAATGGTTCATGAAACTACACTTCAAGCAATTATTGATAACTTCCAGATAGTCTGAGTACAAAAAAGCCAGGTCACAAGAAGTTAGCAGTTCTTCTCTTAGGCTTCTGATTATTAGAGCAGCACTTGCAACACAGAAGCAGGGAAGCTGTCTATGCTCAACTGAACCAATGCTGTATTTTTGTTGAATATTCTACCTTGTAATGACTGAATAAACTTCCTTTTATTAACTATTAGATGTTTCATAAATATCTCATTTCATTACAATCTCAAACATGAACTATTGGACTGAATACCATGGTTATTAAAACCAAGAATTAAAATAAACTAAACTTAGAATCAGACTTTTAATGGATGATTAATCAATGACTTATCAATTATAAAGTATTAAATCAAGATTTTCAAAAGACATATTAAATCATTTGCTCTTTGGAGAAATCATAATTCATGATAACATTTTAGTAAAAGCAAAAAGATTTTCATACCACTAAAATAAAATCAAAATCACTTTCAAAATATTTATTTTATTTTTAAAAATTTATTTAATGTATGTTTCATAATATACATAATGTTAATACAGTAGCATATATATAACTTACAACTAAATAAATATATATACACTGGAGGTGTATACTCAAACATTTTTCTATCAATGGAACTCATAAGAGAAAAAGTTTGGAAACCACTGGAAAATACAGAATTGAAACTGTTACTCTCAGGAAAGGAACTAACAACCCTTTGTTTTCCTGTTGATATAATATGGTTTCAACAAAAGAAGACTATTCTGGAATGCAACCTTCAAATAAATGACAACTTCCAAACAATAAATCACATCAGATGACATTTTAAACATAATTTATTTCCTCAAAGTGGAAAGAATTGATCATTTGAAATGTTACATTTCACTTGAATAAACAAAAATCACCCAAAGAAACACAACATGGAGGATTTGTCGTTATTTTCTTGTTTCAGATTAGCTTTACTATATTCAGTAACATTCTGAATTTGTAGAAAAACAAAATCTTTTGATGAATAAGTCAAGTTTCCAGATGTATTAACAATATTTTTAAATGAATCAAGAACAGCACACTAGACAGTTCAAAGCTTTTCATATCTACAACTTGATAGTTGCTATAGGAACATTTTTTATCATTAGCATAATACCTTACATCTTCCTTTCAAAGTATTTAGAGCACTTCATGGATACTATCTTATTTTACAAATCAGTCTTGGAAATTATACTCCATATTTTACAAATCTCCTTTTTAATCAAAATCCCTAAGTTACTGAGTTTGCACAAAAATCACATAGTTCATTCATTGATGGGGCCAGAACTAGAATTCAGGTGTCCTAATTCCTAATCAAGAAATTTTCTCCAAAACTACACTGGCATCATAAAAATAACTGAGTTATAAAGTATTTCAATATACCAAAAACACACTGAAAAGAATTTAGGGAAGAAGTGCCTCCTCAGGTCACACTTTCCATTTAAAGAACATCAAACCAAAACCTGAAAATAACCTAACAAAAGCACACTAATTAGCTCTTAAAACCACAAAAAGACCCTGTACATAATATACCAGAATATCTTGTTGCAGGTATAAACCATGCAAACATGTGGTAGGGTCTTCAACACCCATCTGTCATCTCACAAGTATTTGCTAATGTAGATGTAGCCCAATAAAATCATTTGCTCACAATTTCTCAGAAAGCTATTTTATAATTGATCCTCTGACAGCACTTAATTATCTCTGCCTAAACCTTTCCTACGTGAAAATGTTCAATGATAATTAATTGGTTAAGTGTTGCAGAGAACTGCTGTTTGGTTTTTTTAAGAATGAATCTTCAGGGCAGCTATGCAGCACGGTGGATAGAGCACCAGCCCTGGAGTCAGAAGGACCTGAGTTCAAATACAGCCTCAGACCAAACATTTGACACTTACTAGCTGTGTGACCCTGGGCAAGTCACTTAACCCCAACTGCCTAAAAAAATATAAAATAAAAAAATAATGAATTTTCTTTAATTTTGGCCTCATATTCCAAAACTAAACACAAATAATAAAAAAATGAACTAACTTAAAATGCTAAATAATACACTTATAAAATAAATCTACCTAGTTAAAAGCTATATTGGCTTAAAAATATATATATCAGAATAATAAAGTCAAGAACATTACATACCTCAAAACCACCAAAATCATCATCATCCATTTTTCAAGTGGTACCTAGAAAACAACAGAATACAGTAAAACAAAATATTTATAATTTGTTTACAAGAGTATACACACATTTTGATTTACAACTTGTAACTACTTATCTGTGATGATAGTAAGCAATCTCTTCTTCACCAGGACTGATGCAAAATTTTTAAATTTTAAAAGAAAAAGATAATAGGCTTTAACTTCCTGACAGGATTGGGCTTTTCTGTACCTTCTTCAGCAGTCATGTATTTTGAAGTTTTATGTTGAGAAGTCAAGAGTGGAAAAAATATTATTTTACATTTTAATTTGCTTTTCCCAAATTGGCGTTGGAATTCAATTCAATAATGCTTCCTGCTTTTTGCATCTATTCCTCAGTTGTCTGGCAACATCAGCACAAATCCCAGCTAGGAACAGGGCTGTGGTAAAATTTTTGGAAATATTTCCCTACCACAAAAGTTTCTTCCCTATGTTTCATGGCCGGAATTGATTTAGATTTTCAAAATTAATCAGCATTTTTGAGCTGAGGCCACAACTTTTGGAAGATTTTGATATGTGTATTTTTAGCTGAAACTGCTTTGCATCTTTGGAAAAATGTGGAGCAAGTTACTAGGCTGATCAAGATAAATCAAGACATGAAGAACCACTCATGGGAAAGTAAGGATGAAAGAAACACACAAAAAATGCCCCAAATTCTTCTCTTCATGGATGTCCCTATTAAATATGTGCCAGGAGATAGGCAGTCAGATAGGAGATGCTCTTGCTTATCCTAAGTGTATCATTAAGTGGGGCAAAAAAAAAACACAACTAACTGGTACTAACACACGCAAGTTAAATATCTGACAGAAGAGACTTTCACCTAAGGAATTAATGAAAGACTTGAAATATTAAGAAAGGTACCTGTTTACATGTGACCAAGAAAATGGGAAAATGCACAAGGCAGTAGATATTTGCTGCTGACTCATAAACTTGGACCAATCTATAGTCGATACCTAGTACCCAATTATAAAGTAGTCAATTTCAGCCAACTTGTCCCTCCAGCTACTAAAATTGGGCAACATCTTAAACAGTAATCTCAGAGTCTGCCTCAATCAATTGTAAAATGCCTAATACCACCTTGAATAAATTCAATTTAAGTTATTCTTCCCAACTTCCCTGTAAGGTCCAAAAAAACAAACACAAATCAGAAAAGCACTGATCCCAAATGTTATTTCTATAGAATCCTCCTATAATTAATCAGAGAATAGATACTAATCTTTCTATGTTTTGGTTGTGTTTTTAAATATTAGTAACAAGAGGTAGTGGCACAGTGGATAAAAAGCTGTCCTTGAAATAAAGAAGACCTAGGTTCAAGTCTCATCTTTGACAGCCACTGACTGGCTTTCTGACTCTGGGCAAGTCACTAAACTCTCAGTGCTCTATAAAATTCTCTAAGATGAAATAGTGCCTACATGCATTAATCGAGGAAATTTCTCAGCAGGTGCCCTTTATACCAATGAAATCACAGTTCTACTCCCTATTTCTAATTGTAACTGAGAAGTCCCAAAATGTGAAAAGGCACACAATTAAAAGTGGTGAGAAACACATTTTCCCATGGGAGTTATTTTTTATTTATTAAACTAGATGAATTTCAAGGTCTTTTTCTTTTCACAGAAATATGACACTAAATGATGCAAAAACAAAATATGCAGACAGCTACCCATTACTGAAGGGAACAGCATCAAAGTGAGACATGATATGATACCATCATTGTCACTATTACCCTAAACTTAACAATTTGATGAGTGAAAAAAGTCTCCAAAAACTTAAAGTCAAGCAAACCATCCTCATACAGCACTTTAAAAAATATATAAACCAGACTTTCAGAAACTTTTTATAGAGGTTAGTATGAAATGGAATTCACATTAATTTTGAGTTGCAAGCAAACAGAAATCTGTATGTGATTAAATTTTATGAATAAATTATAGCAGAAAATTGATATGAATAGTGACATATAACCAAGCCAAAATATTGTCTTTTCCACATGCATCCCATGAATCTCTAGAGACAATTAAAAAACTATTTTTAGTTTCTATGAATGCTGTACTCAAACTAATGCAGTTTCAACAGAATGGAATTTTAGTTGTAATGTTTCTATGTGTTTTCTTAATTCACACTTCAATAAGGGATTTATAAAATACCCACAAGAAAAAAAATTGTGATAATTGTTCCAGCTCCCTTGGCTGTGAAATAAAAAATATAATGCCATCATCTGAGCAGGACTAATTTAACCCTACTAAAAGAATATATTAGTAATCACTGATATTTTCCATACCATAACAACATTTATATATTAAAATTCAAATATTTATGTCTTCTTTCTCAGTTACTCCTTCAAAGGTATCTTCAGAGCAGAGAATCTTAACATTTTTTGTTATGGATCTCCTCTGGCAGTCAGGAGGCTATGTGCCCCTTCTCAGAATAATGTCTTTGAATACGTACTTTTATAAAAGAAACTAATTATATTGAAAGATATTTACCAAAATAAAATGTATAAAGTTTTCAGACATCAAGCTAAGAACCCCTGCTTTGGGCACTTAAATACATATTCAGATGCTTGAAAAACATTATGTTTTGATTATTACAAAAAAAGTAAAAGAATACTCTCTGTATGTTTTAGATCTGAAATATAGTACACATTTTCAATTGTCATCAGTGTTATTTTCATCATAAGATAACAGATTTAGAGTGAGAAAGAACTGTAAGATAAGGTCACCCTCCCCTCCACCCTTATCTTAAAAGTGGTGACTCTCTGGGAAGAGGAGAAGGAATATATTTGGAAATGGGTCTTCATTTGAAGATGGAAAGGAGCTAGGTTCTCTTTGAAATGAAGGTAGTCTGTATCAGAAAGCAAATGGATTTGAAATGGTTACTATGGAAAAAAATTTCACTTAAATTACATTTTTCATATCACTCAGTTAAACTATTGATCAGGAAGGGAGGTAGACCCAAGAACTTCTAGAAGAAAACAAAATATGCAATAAAGACACAGCTTCAAGAAGAAAACAGGAAAAAACCCTTAAAAGTCCTTTACTCTGAAGTTTAATTATAGTCACATTTCCCATTACATAATTATTCCACCTCACATATCAATGAGTAAAAGACAAACAGAGTGACCCACATTATTTAAATAGCCATTTTTATTTTTATTGAGCATGTATAGTTGAATGGATGTATGCACTGGAACCTCATTGTACTTTTAAAATATAATTTAACTTTTTAAAATATTTACATTCAACTTTGGGGATATATTTCTACTTAATAAATCAAGATGTAGCAAAAAACTATAAATACAGCAACCTTACATGTTTAATATGTTTAAGTTTAAAAATTATTAGATTACTAGGTAACTCTGAAAGATCAGACGGCAGAACGTCTGGGTCACAGGACCAACAAGATTTGAAGACCAGGCTTTTCTCTGAGCCTCACAAACTCTGAAACTTCTCCAAAACAGAAATTATGCATCAAAGATAAGCAACTTCAGTTGTCTCCATCATCTAGGAGACCCAGAATCCAAAGGAAAGTTTTAAAAAAAATGAATTCACACCTCTCTAAACTCAATACCCCTCCCCCAATCCAATATAAGGGCTTGCAACAAAACTCCCACACCCCAGTCCCCACTCCAGCTTTCCACTTCTATGAAAACCCTAGGTCTAGGCTACAGAAGTTTTCTGGGACTTGACAGTCAGCACTTCAGGAGCAGAAGGGTAGGGGGTGGGAGAACAGACAGGCAGCACCATGGCAGACAACCCTGTGGCATCAGCATTGTAAGGTTATGAACAGAAGTTATGAGCCAGAGAACTATGAAACAGGAGAGGGATGGAACAATGAGGGAGGGGGCAGGAGAGGGTGGTGCAGGGTACCTGTTCTGTCACCTAAAAGTCCTTTGGTGCAGAGATCTAGGCTGGTGAGCCATACTGTGGAAAGAAGCTAAGACATTTTGAGATCCAATCCCAAGAAAACCACCATGTGAGGGGAAACAGAAAGTGTGGGAAAAGTGCAGAAACAGCATGGAAAATTAACAGAGGCAAATCAGGGTGGGGAGGGAGAGACTGAAATTACTAAAGGTTGCAGGAAAAAGAAAACTCAAAGACCTTTAAACATAGAGAGACAGAGAGAGAGAGAGAGAGAGAGAGAGAGAGAGAGAGAGAGAGAGAGAGGGAGAGAGGGAGAAACACATATCAGGAATACAAATAAATAGAACAGAAAGACAATCTAGAAGAAAAGAAGCAAAAACAGTACTATTAAAAGAAAATATACTCACTATGCAAGCAAAACACTGGTCTCAAAGACAGAATGCCCAGACACAACCTAAGGATCATTAGGTCTTCCAGAAAAAAAGTCATATAGGCTCCCTCACTTCCCTTTGTAGCCCTCAATATTATCCAGGCAGAAACTAACACAGATATGTATGTATGTTGTATATCTGTATTGTGTATGTACAGGTGTGTGCATATGCATATGAATATACATGGAAATACATCTGGAAAATAATATTCCATTTCGTGACTTAGAAATTCATCCTAGAGTTGAAAGGTCTCAAGGATCCTTGTCCCTTTTTCCGGATTTTATGTGAAATGTCCTTTTCAGGCTCCAATACAAACAAAACACAGACATCCACTTATCTGTATTATTACACTTTTTCAGAAGATAAGTAGAAGAGCACTAGGTAATCTCTAAGGTCTCCTCATTCTTCAGGTTGTGAATGTTCCCTTGCTTTGACCCTGTCATTCCATCATCAAAATCAAAAGATGGAGACAAAACTATAAAATACCATCATCATAGCATTCATATAGTATTTTAAGTTATGCAAAGCATTTACAAATACTATTTCATTTTATCCTCACAACTCTGAGATAGGTGCTACTATTATTCTCACTTTACAGATAAGGAAAATGAGGCAGACATAGCTTAAGTGACCTATCTAGCATCACACAGGTAATAAATGTCTGAGGCTAGACTTGAACTCCTGTTTTCCTGAGTCCAGG